ATTGCGCTTTGATGTCCTTCTCCAGGCACCAGAAATCGTCGAATTTTGTGAAATCTGATGTCTGTAGAGAGTGTAGAGTGCAGATCCCATCTAAGGTGGTACAGTCTTTGACAGTCCAAGGTCTCCATATCTGTATAGCGAATTCTAGATGCGGTCGAATATGTAGACGTTGAATATAGTGAGCTGCAGCAATTTCAATAATCACTTTATAAGATCATTAAAAATCTAATATTTCAAAGCCTGCGTATGAGCCAGAATGATTGGAATGTCTCGCATCGGTACCAAGCAACGGCAGAATACCCGGAACACACATGTTTGGGCTTTTGCCTTGTACCTGTGCAGTTCACTATATTTAAAAAGAAGCCAGGATTTTGTGGAACAAAATAGCGCTTATTGCGTAAGTTTTCAAGACTTTTTTTTCCCCTGGTCGTCGTCAGACAAATAAAAGAGGTGTACAAAAGAACAGTTGATTTTAACCGATGCCTAGCGCAAGCTTATTTGGTTGGCTAGTGTGTAAGCCAATTGGCTTCACCTGCGTTAAATTATCCCCTCGATCTCATAGAGGACCTTTTAATTGTCTGCAGTATTTCTCGGCAGAGGAATGGTTTGTTTCTAGACAAAGATTGGATAGTTCCGCAGTTCATTAGAATTAAGGATAATAGACATTGCCTTTGGAACCCTATATGAACGGTACAATATTTAACTTCAAATTAATGTGTTACTATACATAAAAAGTTTTGAATGCAAAATGTGTTAAAAGGTGGCGATTTAAGTACAGGACGCCTGAAGGTTCAGGCATGTATTGAAACAAATAGATGTTGGTTTGATTTAACGATGCTTTCCTGACCGACTGAACAGTAATCGTTCAAGTAAATATACAACTAACTTATACTTGAAAGACGCTGTCGTGTCGGCTGTTATAACGCCTTCCAGTCGCTGAAAACTTGCCGCGAAAATAATGTTGCGTCTTATATCGGACGAGGTGCTGCATCAGTCTACTTGCATCTATGTTTATACCTCCCTTCCCCTCCCCCTTGAAACTGATGAATTACGTGTTTTCCCACGGTACATTGGTAGATTGCGAATGATCAGCATGGCAAGTGTTTCTTGAACTCGTACTGAGATATTTAAACCGTTAAACAACGTACAGCCTTTGGAAATGCCCTTGCTTGCTATGTCAATTGCACTTTTTGTTCTTTTGAATGCTTGAGTTATATGACGGGTTCTCTCCCCCCGTCCCCCAATATTTAAGGTTTCCGCCGGCCGCAGAAAAGAATCAAAAGCCGTCCATGTTGAAGATCGTCTGCCAGACATGTGCATTCTGCATCCACTCAATGCCTGGCTTTGGTTAACGCTCTGTCTCACGCCCACAGTCATCTATCAGGTCACCCGCTGTCTCTCAGCCTGCGAGCTGGCCAACCTGCTTACCTGTCGCCTCTATGATCATCACACTGACAACGCGGAGCTACCTTTTGGCCTGCCGGAGGGCGACTTCTTCATGCCGGATCGTGGCAGTGTCAGTCTTACTGATATTCCACCCTTGCACAGGTACTTTGATCACCTCCCCAGAGAAAACCGACTGGTATATGACAAATTTGAAACGCTAGAGGAAGAGCTTGTTCTGGATGAGGCCGTCATCGCCGCTCGTCAGGTATCTTTGCGTCTTTCTATAATATCTTCCGGTTTGGGGTACGCCTAATAATAAAGACAACAGTAGCAGCGGCAGCATTATTATTATTAGTAGTTCTAGTAATATGAATCGCATTTGTTCTAGTAGTAGCTGTACTTACTTGTACTTAGTAGCTGTAGTAGCTGTAGGAGTGATAGTAGCACTATCTGTAGTAGGAGTAGTAGTAGTAGTATCAGTTGTTGTGGTGTTAGTAGTAGTAGCTGTAGGAGTGATAGTAGCACTATCTGTAGTAGTAGTAGTATCAGTTGTTGTGGTGTTAGTAGTAGCAATAGTACTCGTGTTAGTAGTAGTAGTAATTGAAGTGGCGGTAGTATTTAGAGAAGTATTGATTGTTGCATTAGTAACAGTAGTAATGTTAGTAGGAATAGTGGTGCTAGTAGGCGCAGTAGGAATAGTAGTAGTAGTAGTCTAAGTCTACTATAAAATAATTTGCGCGCAAGTTACAGTTCTTGCGCCAACCCTGGTTTTGACGTACAGGCGAACCTCGTCAGAATCGACGGTCGAACGGCGAAGTAGTGTTCATTATCGGAGGCTGAAACCTCCATCTGCCCACTTAAAAATTGACAATGTTTTTTTCGAATTTGTGAAGAGCCTCTTCTCGGAGACTGACCGTTACCTGACTTTAGCTGAACAGACATGCTCTAGTCTCTGTGTAGTTCCCAACTTCCACAAAGTTTAGAATTTCGCACTGATTGCGCAGCATTTAAAAGCGCGTTGACTACCCATACTCTACAGTTCAGTGACACCTACCTACTGAAATTGCAATCTGACTGCTGCCCGTGTTCTTATCTCCTGACAGAAGGGGGCCAGAGCGTCTGGGGATTGCACAGCGACTGGCTACTTCGTGCCCGATCCGATCTATCTGTTGGAGGCCACCACTACACTCAACGCCGTGGATGCCGTGAATCTGGAGCGTCTGGAGCTGTTGGGTGACTCCATGCTGAAGTTCGCTGCCAGCCTCCTCGTCTACTCCTCTCTACCGCCCAGCGCTGACGAAGGTCAGCTCACCTACCTGCGTATGGGTCACATCAGCAATGCCAACCTTCACCGTCTCTCTGTGGAGCTGGGCATCTATCACTACCTCTGGTCTTTCTCCTTTGATCCGACCAAACACTACACCCCACCCGGGTTTTATATTTCTGACACTGTGAGCACCCCCAGCAGCAACAACACTCCGTTTTATTTCTAGAAGTCTGTATTTAGGACAAGAAGAATTTTATTTGCGAAAAGGGAAATTGTAATGCGTAAATTTTCGAGACAAGTCCCCCAGCTCCGTAATGATCAGACTACGGGAGGTGTAGAAAAAACTTTACTTATTTGAATCATTTTTCCCGCGTTTGACTATAAATCAGGCATAGGCAGCAGGTGTTTTTTGGCTTAAATAAATATCCGAGTACTTGTTCGGACACGAACTAATCGTACCCTACATTACTTGTAGGCCGCCTACATACGGCGGGCGAAACCAGGCCTATACAGGCAGTTTGTCCTGATAATCGGAGTACTTAGATTTAATCAGGACTGTTATTTATGTTAACATTCCCGCCCCCTCTTAGTTCCTCTATGCTGGTTTAAGATACTATATTTTATTTGATCGTTATTTGCAGTAAACCATGAGCTCTGCTGTTGTACATTGACAGTCTGTGAACATTTAAACTGCTGTATGCTCCCATTCGTTATCTAAGCAAAAGCCAGATTGCAGTTGAAAAACCGTAACGAAATTTATTGGCTCCAATAAATCCTGCTGCCTATGCCTGTTTCTAAATTATTAAGTTAACCGTGTTTATGGGTTCTACGGTGTACTAATACGCGTTACTTGCATTTTGTCATGTCATCTTGATTGGCGATGTGTGCGTTAAAGTATTCCTTGAGAAATTTGCATGTGGCATCTAAATCGATATGCTGATTAATGCGTGCCTCATCTTAATGCATTGCTTCCAGGAATTGGCTGCATTTTGTTATTGGGCAGGCGCCAGCAATGCGTGTGTTCTGCCACGCGAATTTGTGACCGGTTTCCGGTGTGTATATTTCCATCTGGGATAAGTGGTCACGTCCTCAGACGGCCAAACGATGTTCGTGTATGTTATTTGAGACGCATGTCCCAATTTGGCACAGCGTCACAACTGTCATACGGGATTACATAGACAACGCGTGCTTTATCAAAGTAGTCAACATTGCCCTTATGGTGTACAAAGTGCGACCGAAAGGTTGCCGTGGGGTTTTATGCTACTTGTATTCATTTTTTTCCAGAATGTATTTTCTCTTCCTAAGTAATTATCGTGGAATAACCGTATTTAAATGCAGGAATATACATGTACAATGTATAAGAGGAGGCTCAATTGTGGGATTTTCCTTCTTATTTCTCCCTTCCGCGCCTATTTCCAGGAAGCCGCTCGCAGGTCTCATGACCCCCGTCTCTACGTGAAGATTTATGACAAGGTGGTTGCGGACTCCATGGAGGCTCTGCTTGGCTCCTTCCTTTACTATCTGCATCCTTCCGCGGTGGCACGTCTGCTGACTT